GGAATATGATATGTCAAGAAATTTGTAATGTTTTGAACAACCCACAATAAAAAATTAAAAAAAAAAAAAAAAAAAAAAAAAAAAAAAGAAAAGCTGGTTTGAGCCAGGCATGATGGTACATGCCTCTTAATCCCAGTGACTCAGGAGGCTGAAGCAGGAGGATCACAAGTTCAAGGCCAGCAATTTAGTGAGACCCTGTCTCAAAAAAATAAAAAGGGCTAGGGATGTGATTTAGTGGAAAAACACCCCTGGGATCAATCCCTAGTACCCCCTGCGCCCCCACACACACAGGAAAAAAAAAAAAAAAGAAGAAAGCTGGTTTGGGCCTAGAGCATAGGAAACTTGTGACCAGGTGTAGAAGATGTTACATATTAAAACTGTGCTTTTGTAAGTATGGAAATATTTGTGGACTGAGTCAGAATTAATGGAGACTATAGGAAAACCAGGTATAATTTAATGTCCAGAAAAAAAAGGTTATTAGGCCTTGAACTATGGTAAAAATAGGAATAAATAAAAGACATATTATAGAATTTGAATTAATAGAGTGGAGAAATACCACAACTAAATTTGATAGTCAAGTATTTATATCATTATGTGACAAGTATAAGTTTATTTTATGGTTAGAAATGTCTGTTGGATATCTGGGAACCTCTTGGATATGAGTGTTATTTTAAGAGCAAGAACATTTGTTCATTCAACTCCAAAGGAATATAAAGTTTACCTTGTTGGGCTTGAAATTGAAATTCAGGAAAATGATTTCTTTCAAGGCCAGCTAATTTATTCAGAATCTCCGAATTGAAAAAATTTCTTAGTCTGCTTAATGTAGACACAATTCGAAACCACTTTAGTCTAATGATTTGGAAGAAGCGATGGACATAACCTTCTTTAAAATTACTACATGTAATCATCTCTGTTTCATTCATGTGGTACAAATGTAAATTGTAAATGAGAGCCTAAATTAGTCCCTCAGTTGACTTTGTTAAGCAGAAATCTTCTGGCTGACTCATACTGTTTGCAGAAGAATGATTTGAAAATAACCTTTGAAAAATCCTGATAGAAGTATTTTGGAATAGTGATGTTAATAAATGTCAGCCTATCAGTGTCAGTTATTGTGGTGATAGAGTATTAATTAAAATGTTAACTTTGTGAAAGTTATAAAGAAAGCTGGGAAATGGTGATGACTTAGACTGATATTGATAAAATACCCAAGTAAATATAAACAAGTAAATATACCCTAAAAGCTATAAAGCATTATTGAGAGAAATTGAAGGATACTTTAATAAATGGAAACTTTCCTGGGTTACTGGGTAAAACTTATTATTGATAAGATACCACTGAAAGCTATCCACATATTAAGTGTAAACCGTAGCAAAATGTCGACAGCCTTTTTTGCAGAAATGGAAAAGCCAGTACTCAAAATTTTATCTGAATTGCAAGGGACCCTCAATTCAAAAATATTCTTAAAAAACAAGAATAAAATTGAAGGATTAACACTCTCTAATTTTAAAACTTTTTAAAAGGTTAGAGTAATAAGCAAGACCTGGTGGCACATGCCTTGTAATCCCATTAACTTGGGAGGCCAATTCAGGAGGATTGCAAGTTTGAGGCCAGTCTTACAACTTAGCAAATCTTTGTCTCAAAATAAAAAATAAAAGAACTGGGATGTAGCTCAGTGATAGAGTGACACAATATCACAAAGATAAAAGATATCACAATGAGATAAACATTTCAAACCCTCTAGGATTTTTGTTTTGCTCTTCTTTTTCTAGGGTTTTGAGATGAAGTGTGAGATCATTTATTTGTTGGTTTTTTCTTTTTTTAAGGAATGAACTCCAAGCAATGAATTTTCCTCTTAGAACTGCTTTCATTGTGTCCCATAGATTACGATATGTTGTGTCTGTGTTTTCATTTATCTCTAAGAATTTTTTAATTTCCTCCTTGATGTCTTCTGTAACCCATTGATCATTCAGTAACATATTGTTCATTCTCCAAGTGTTATAGGGTTTTTCCTTCCTTCTTTTATCGTTGATTTCCCATTTCATTCCATTATGATCAGATAGGATGCATGGTCCACTAGGATTTTTGTTGTTTTTTGAATGTGTTTTCCTCCCCATCCCCCCACCCCCAAATATGGGGAATTAAACTCAGAGATGCTTTATTGCTGAGCTAGATGCTTTTATCACTGACCTACATCCCCAGACATTTTTTTTTCCCTAGTACTGGGGATTAAACCGGGGCATTTAACCACTGAACAATATCCTCAGCCCTTTTTAGTATTTTATTTAGAGATAGGGTCTCACTAAGTTGCTTAGGGCCTTGCTAAGTTGCTAAGGCTGGCTTTGAACTCATGATTCTCCTGCCTCAGCCTCTCAGGCTGCTTGGATTACAGGTGTGTGCCACTGTGCCTGGCCCCAGGCATTTTTATGTATTTATTTTTTCAAAACAGGATCGCGCACTAAGTTGCTGGGACTAGTCTCAAACTTTCAGCCCTCCTGCCTCAGCCCTCAGCCTCCCAAGTAGCTGAGATTACAGAGATGTGGTACCACACCCAGCTCCACTAGGGCTCAGTTGGTAGAGTGCTTGCCTAGTATGCACAACAAGGCCCTGGGTTCAATCCCCAGTACCACAAAAAAAAAAAAAGTGTTTGTAAGGATGTGGAGAAATTGGAACTCTGATACTTTGCTGGTAGAAATGTAAAATATTGGTCTACTGTGAAGTTTGGCAGCTTTTCAAAAAATTAAACAGAATTCTCATATGTCCATGTAGTTCTACTCCCAAGTATATACCCCAAAGAACTGAAAACAAAGGGCTGGAGATATAGCTCAGTGATAGATCTCTTGTCTAGCATTATGTGAAGTCCTGGATTAAATATCTAGCACTGGAAAAAGAAATTGAATATAAGGTACTCAAACCAATGCATTTATACACATGTTCATTGTAATAATAGTCAAAGTGGAAATGACTTTAAAAATGCCCATCAACAGGGCCACATCAATATTTATAGTAGCTCAATTCACAATAGGTAAGCTGTGGAACCCACCTAGGTACCCTTCAACAAATGAATGGATAGAGAAAATGTGGTATATATACAAAATGGAATATTACTCAGCCATAAAGAAGAAAGATATGATGGCATTTGATGGTAAATGGATGGAACTGGAGACTATCATGTGAAGTGAAATTAGAATAGGAAAGACAGTAGAATGAATTGGACATAACTTTCTTATATACGTATATGAATACATGACCAGTGTAACTGCACATCAAGTACAACCACAAGAAGAAGTTATAATCCCATGTATGTACAATACGTCAAAATATATTCTACTATTATATATCACTAAAAAGAACAAATAAAAAAATTTAAAAATGTCTATCAGTGGGTGAATGGATAGACAAATTGTATAATTATACCTACAATGAAATATTTTTCAACCATAAAAATGAGTAATTACTGATACATACTATAATGTGGATGAGTCTGGAAAACTTATATTAAGTGAAAGAACCTAAAACACAATGGTCACATATAGCATGGTTCATTTATATGTAATATTCAGAATAGATAAAAGCATTGAGAATGTATACAGATTGGTAGTTGGATGGGAGGAATGGGGCGATATGGTATTGTAATTTAGAGCATAGGACAAATAGAGGAGTAGAACAAAGAAGGTTTCAGGTTAGACATTCAAAGGATTGAAGCCATATTAAAAAATTAGATCACTAAATGGGATGACATGCAGGAAAAAATGATAAAAAAAAGCAAACAAATATATTATTAACTTAGCAGGAGGCCAGAGTTTTAACATCAAGGTAAGTTCAGATTTGTTAATTAGACACAAAAATGGCCCATTAGCCTTTTCCAAATTAGATGCAGAATTATCTTAAATATTTCTCTTTTTTCCCCCCATTGTTCCATTACACACACTTTCTGAACCCAGGGGCCCTATACCACTGCTATATCCCCAGCACACTCACCTTTAAAAAATATCATAGTCTCTTTTTTTGGTGTGTGTGCGGGTACTAGGTATTGAACTTAGGGGAATTGAACTACTGAGCCACATCCCAAGCCCTATTTTGTATTTTATTTAGAGACAGGGTCTCCCTGAGTTGCTTAGTGCCTTGCTTTTACTTAGGGTGGCTTTGAATTCATGATTCTCCTGTCTCAACCTCCCAAGTTACTGGCATTACGGTGTGTGCCACCACAACCGTCTAGACAGTCTTACTCAGTTGACCAGGTTGACCTCAAACTTGATCCTCTGGTGTCACCTGCCCAAGTTGCTTAAGATTCAGATGTGGGGGCTGGGGTTGTGGCTCAGCAGTAGAGCGCCCACCTGGCACATGCGAAGCCCTGGGTTGGATCCTCAGCACCACATAAAAATAAATAAAATAAAGGTATTCTTAAAAAAAAGTTAAAAAAAAAGATACATGTATACACCACTGCATGCATCTTAAATCATTTGATAAGAACAAGACAAAATATTGATAGCTTATTTCATTGAAGATCTCGAACTTTAAGTTGTAGAATTTCATACACTTGTAGGGGAAAGCCTCACACATTTGATACTGATAAGGAAGGCAGATGCACTTAAATATGGAACATTCTTTTGGATTTAGAATTTCAGAGTATATATCCTCAAAGAATTCAGTGACTAGGAGAAACCATTGCAATTAGTTAAACTAATTTTCATTACTTGAATTCAGTGTAACAGTAAAAGGAGAAAAAATGATCGCAAAATGTTATGTTCATAGGTTATATTATGAATCACATAAACTATAGGGAATTTTTATATGTACACTGGGGAGTTTTGTTTGTTTTTGTTTTTACTAATGGTAACTATGTTTTTTCACTTTGTTTTCATTATTTGGTAGCTCCTTTTGTCAGTTTAATAAGTAATATTTGATGTTATTTTTGTCTTTAAGAATGTGGAATTATACCATGTCAGAGAAAAAGTATCCATTCTTGGGAGAATAAGATTAACCCTCTTCTTCAATTGCAGATGATGAAAGCTATGAACAAGTCCAATGAGCATGTGCTGGCAGGAGGTGCCTGCTTCAATGAAAAGGCAGACTCTCACCTTGTGTGTGTACAGAATGATGATGGAAACTATCAGACCCAGGCTATCAGTATTCACAATCAGCCCAGGAAAGGTAAGTGTTTGAGCTAGTTGAGATTTTAATAATGGAAGGTTATTCTGAACTTGGAACATTGGCTATCTCATTTCCATTACACACACTTTCTAGAAGAGTGACCATAAACTAATGAGCTTTTCCAAGAATGTCCGTCCATGTTCTCTAGAATTATGTTGACTCCCATGTAGTCAGACTCAAAGAGTCTTGGAAATGAGGTCTCTGTTATTGAAGGAAACATTTTAGAAGTACTGCACCATGATATTGCTTGTGCCATCACTGGTATTTGAAGGTGAGACTAGGCCCTTTAGTGAGATTGTGCTCAGATCTATTTGGAACTTGTTAGATGAATATATGCAATTAATTAATAGGTTGACAGGATTCTGGAGGAATCTTCCTAGTTTCAGTGCTACCTAGAATGTGGTCTCATTACTTAGGAGATTGTTAGAAATGAGAAATCTATGAAGCAGATAAATCTACTAACCAGAATTTTAGCTAGATCCCTGAGTGATTAAATTATATATTTAAATTTGAGAAACTTTGCTCAAGGTAGTATTATCCAAAGTGTTTTCTGTGGTTTAAAAAAATATTCACATAAATAAATGAAAGTCTTTCTTTAATAAATAAAAATCTGAGAAACCCTGTGTTAAACAACTTCATAAACAGGTTTCCTTAACACAGATCTTTTTCAGATCCTTTAACAAGCTAATTTTTCAAAAGGAAGACAGTGTATATTTCTTCCCACATTTATTTGACCACAGACTTTTTCTTCAGGGTATCTCCCAAAACTATATTTTGGGAAATTATAATTATATTGATAAAACTTGGTAGCATTCAGAGGATGATTTAAGACCTGTGAGAAATTTGCGTCTAGATAGAAAATGACTTTTTTTTTCCTTTTGGCAGTGTTACGAGATTGAACCCAGAGCCTTATGCATAGTAGGCATGTACCCTACCATTGAGCTACATCTCCAGCCCTCAAAGGAAGACTTCTTAAATAAAATATTAGTGTTTGATCTGGAAAAGAGTACATTGGAAGAAGATGGAAAAATAGCTACTTCTATTTAGATTTTATTATGTGAAAATAAGGTTCAGCTTATTCTCTATCTATACAAAACTCCATAACCAGAATCAGGTGAAAAACCAGATTTGAGGCAGATTTGGGTTCAATTTGAGATCACAATCTATTACCTTGAGAATCTGTCCAAAAGTAGAATGGATCACCGGTGCTATTATGGGCTCCCAAACACTTTAGAAGAGTAGGACAAAGGCTGGATGACCATCTGTAGAGATACTGTAGGCCAGTGGGTAGGAAGTTGGCTTATCCCAGTCCAATTTAAGATGGATAGTATAGTGAAGCTTTCCTAAAGCTAAATATAATCTTTTCTTTTATAAAGAAATACTAGTAGTTGGAGTTTGTCTTTTAAATGTTTTTTTTTTCTAAGTAACTCTTCTTGGAAAATATATTTTGTACCATATCTTCATCTTTAATATATATTTAATCTAAAAAAAACTTGGAAAATTGGATTACACTAGGGGCCACAAACTTTTTATGTACAGGGCAAAATGATTAGTACTTTAGGCCTACAGTCTTTGTCACTAACTACTCAGGTGTGATTCTGGTGTCTAAAAACTCCCTTAGACAATATGCAAATGAAGGACATGGCTGTGTTCCAATAAAAGTTTATTTATAAAACTAGACTACAGATCATGTAGGCTGTAATTTGCTAACCCCTGGACTTGACCATTAAGATTTCTTTGTAGTAATATTCTTTTGATTCTTGATTTGAGGAAGAGCAAAACAGGATCTTATTTTAAAATTTCTTTCCCAAAGCAGTCATAAGCATGAGAACTATTGGCTACATTATAGACTTATCACCTACTCTATTTTGGATATATTATTTGAATATACTTGTGCTAAATGCCTTTTATGCCTTTAGTGAACAACTAGTTTAAAAATACATTGAAGACAGTTACCTACTATATGCCCACCAGAGAATTGTTTCACAAAACATATTAAAGAAATTTTGGGGTTAGGGCTGTGGCTTAGCGGTGACACACTTGCCTGGCATGTGTGAGGCACTGAGTTTGGTTCTTGGCACCACATATAAATAAATAAAAGTCTGTTAACAACTAAAAAAATATTTAAAAAAAGAAATTACTGACTATATACTGTGGTATATAGATACAGTGTTTTTTATTTTTTATATGATGTTCGAAATTCCCAATTACCAAATATTTCATTATTGTTCCCAACCCCTCCATCTGAGGTATGTTGTCACTAAACTATTTCTATTGCTATTCTAGTGACTGGTGCCAGTTTCTTTGTGTTCAGTGGCGCTCTGAAATCCTCTTCAGGATACCTTGCCAAGTCCAGTATCGTGGAAGGTAAAGAATGAATTATTCACTGCATGTGCTTTGGTTCAGACCTAATTATACAACTAAACAGCAAGAAACATTACAAGAAGCATTAATATTTCTGCTTTAGATGTCTGGCCTCTATTATTTCTTCTGTGGCACCTCACTCTTCAGCAAATTAAAACTCTCATGAGAGTGCTTAATTCTCCAGAGAAGGGAGTAAGTGGTACAGATACCATGGGACATAAAAAAATAAGAGATGACCTTTCCTAGCTCTGGGATAAGGTATCCAAGGGGATGTAGTTAGAGTTCAGATATATGCACATATGCAAATATGTAGATGAAGTTCACTCCCTCCTACCTATAAGAATGCTGTGATTACTGACACAGTGGTGCACAGCTGTATATGTAGATGAAGTTCACTCCCTCCTACCTATAAGAATGCTGTGATTACTGACACAGTGGTGCACAGCTGTAAAATCACAGTTGTTTTGGAGGCTGAGGCAGGAGGATCAGGAGTTCAAAGCCAGCCACAGCAAAAATGAGGTGCTAAGCAACTCAGTGAGTTCCTGTCTCTAAATAAAATTCAGAATAAGGCTGGGGATGTGGCTCAATGGTTGAGTGCCCCTGAGTTCAATCCCTGGTAACCCCCGCCCCCGCCAAAAAAAAAAAAAAAGAGAGTGTGAGTGCTGTGATCATCATTCAGGATACAGAAAGAGATGTGCTTGCTATGGGGTTGCTATAATTAACATGACCCATATCCTGATAAAAGTTAATTAAATGAAAAGCTAATCAACACATTTTTTTATTTTCTTTGTTGGTTGTTTATTTTGATCTGGTTAGTCTTGTTGCATTACAAATTATTCCAAAACTTAATGGCTTAAAATAGCCATTTTATCATGCTTGTTGTTTGCTCTAGATGATGAATCTTGACAGGACAGTTCAGGGACACTTTGACCCTGTTTGGTGATCTCAGTAGGGTTGACCTAAAGGTAAGGGTTATTTATTGTCAGTGAGCTAGTGTTCTCTGAAGGTTTGTTTACACACACATCTGGGTCCTACTTGGGATGATTTAAACACTAGGAATCAGTGCTGGGGTTGTAGCTTAGTGGTAGAATTCTTGCCTTGCATGTGTAAGGCACTGGGTTCGATGCTCAGCACCATATACAAATAAATAAAATAAAGGTCCATCAACAACAACAACAACAAAAGACTAGGAATCATCACTGGAGTACTTTCATATGTACTCCTTAGCACAGCCTGTCAATCCTTGTGATATTGGGCTTCTTAGGTGGTGGTTCAGGACTCCAAGCATGAGTAAGCCAGCAACAAGGTAGAAGAAGTTGCACTGCTCTTTGTGACCCAGTCTAAAAAGTCATATAGTATCCCTTTGACCATCTAGTTTTGGAAGAAAGGAGAGGAATTAGACTCCACTTCTTGATGGGGAATGGAAAGGTAGCATTGTAGAAAAACACATCAAATAGAAGATGCGGCTAGTGTTGGAAAATCATTGGCCACATGAGGATAAGTTTCAGTTTCCATAGTAGTGAGCAAGGCCCTTTCTGAAAGCAGTCCTTTCTGAGGGCTGAATACCAGTGTGCTAATTAAATAATCTTACATGGATTTGTAGATACTGGCTTTGATATTTTTTTTTTTTGGTAAATTTAATAAAATAGTGAAACTCAGAGTATAATAGTATTTTACAACAAAAATTCAAAACTCTTGACTATCAAGCAAGAGCATGCTATTAGGAAACTGTTAAGTAGCTGAGCACATACCTGTAGTCTCAGCTATTTTGAAGGTTGATGCAGAAAGATCACTTGAGCCCAGGTGCTCAAGACTAGCTTGGGCAACATAGTGAGACTCCATCTCGAAAAGAAAGTTGTTAAGAAGTCTAGACCAAATCTCATTTTGTCTAAAGTGACTAATTAATACCTATCTAGGCTATTGTTAAATTTGTGGGGGTTTTTTGTTTGTTTTTTAATAAAGTGATTAAAAAAATAACAAAAATCCTCAGAACCATATATATATATAACTTAAGTGTTGCTTAAAGGATAAATTGAACTGAAACAGATTCTTACAAATGCAAAACAGTGTTTTTGAAAGGCATGTGTTAACCAGGCATGGTGGCACACATTTGTAATCCAGCCACTTGGGAGGCAGGAGGATTGTAAGTTCAAGGCCAGACTCTGGCAATCTAGCAGAACCCTGTCTAAAAATAAAATAAGAAGTCCTTGTGATGTAGCTCAGTGGTAAAGTACACCTGGGTTTGATTTCCATCCATCCCCCACCACACACACAAAGTTATATGTCATGTGTTTATGTCCCTGGTTTGGTTTCTTGGGTCTTACATTTCACTGTGTTTCAGTAGAGAAATTGGCTGCTTATTTGTAAAATTTTATTAAGGCTCTGTAGAAATTATCACAGCTGACAAGATTGTATGTCAGTGAAGCAGGGTAATTGCTCAGCACATAACAACTTTTACCCTCAATTTCGTTGTTTAACTTTGACTCAGGTAGATAGCTGAAAAATAGTTACCATCTGTTGACTACGTAACCTATATGAAACTCTGGTAGGTTTGCCTTATTGCTGGTCAGTAAGTAGATATATTCCCAAGTGTACTACTGTAGTGTATTCAGTGATTTACTTAACAAACGTTTACTGGGTATTCAATCTGTGCCAGGCAATCACAGTTAGGTGAGACACATGGAGGCACAAATAAATAAATACATATGATCTGAGCATAAGGAATTAAAGAGAGGAAACAGAAACAAAGTGTTCTGTGAGTCCAGAAGAGCAATGTGACCATGTATGTTTTCCCTTTGAGCAGCCCTCAGGAGAAACCCTTAATTGTATCTGAAGTGAAATCAACAGGCAAGTATTTTAAGCAGGATCCTTCTTGGCATTTGCCCTCACAACTCGTTTAATGAATAAGAAATTCAGCCCCCAAAACAAAACCTTTGTATCTGTTAGCTTTGAAGAACAGAGTGAAGTTTCACATTTAACATCTGAGGGATTTGCTAATGCCAGGTACTGCATCACATCTGCCCTCCATAGCTTTGCATTGTTTCCATCTGTATTATCTTGGTGCTGATTCTTAGATGGCGTTATGGTCCAGATCACTGCAGAGAACATGGATTCCTTGAGGCAGGCGCTTCGAGAGATGAAGGACTTCACCATCACCTGTGGAAAGGCAGATGCAGAGGATCCCCAGGAGCACATTCACATCCAGTGGGTGGATGACGACAAGAACGTTAACAAGGGGTAAATGCAGCCCACTTCCCCCCTTGTGGCACTTGTAGGACAGTTCTGAGTTTTGTCTGCTCTCTATACTGGTGTTTTATAGTTTTACTTATTAAAAGCCTGCCTAAAAAAAAGGACTGTATAATAGAGCTTTAAATTTCTGATTTCTTGGCTTAATTTGTGAAAGAGTTTATGTATTTTAAAATATTTTTTTAGTTGTAGATGAACATAGAACCTTTGTTTTATTTGTTTAATTTTATGTGGTACTAAAGATTGAACCCAGTGCCTCACACATGCTAGAGAAGCGCTCTACTTACAACCCCAGCCTGAGTTTCTGTATTTTTAAGGGAAGGATAAGGGGAAAGATTGATGAAACAGAAAAGTCTTTCTACAGTTTCTGAAGTAACAGAAATAGCCTTTTATGACTTACAAAGCATTTTTGCTAATATTTGTTTCATTTGATATAACAAGTAGTATTATTTCCATTTTACAAAAGGATTCATAGGTACCAAAAAGATAAATGGTTTGTCAGATCCATAAACCTAGGACGTGGCAGGACTAGGACTTAAAACTACCTCTTTGGGCTTTAGATCTTACACTGTTTCCCAGTATATGGCAATTCTGTTTGAATGACTCAAGACAAAATTTTGGAGTCTTTTTTGACACTTTTCTTTCTCTTATACTCCACATTGTGGAATTCTTAATTCAAAGTAAATCCTGCTCATTGTACTTCATACTGTTTCTCACCACCTCTACTACTATCATCCTAGTATAAGCCATCATCTCATTTGGTCTAGATTATTGCAGTAGCCTCTTCATTGGTTTCCTTGTTTCTGGTGTTGGCCTGCGTTCCTCCAACCCAGTCTGTTTCCAGTATAACAGCCAGGATAATGTCACTTTTCTCCTCACACTCACCAATGGCTTCCAGTATTTTTTAGTGCAAAAGCCAAAGTTGTTTATGACCTATATGGTCTTACACAATCTGGGCATCCCTCTTCCCACCCTGTTACCTCTCAGAAACAACACTGGCTTGATTTCCTTCCTTCTTCCTTCCTTCCTTCCTTCCTTCCTTCCTTCCTTCCAGGGTGGAGGTTGTACCCAGAATTAAACTCAGGGATGCTTAACCACTTAGCCACATCCCCAGTTCTTTTTATTTTTTGAGACAAGGCCTTGCTAAGCTTGCTGAGGCCAGCTTTAAACTTGTGATCCTCCTGCCTCCCAAGCCACAGGGATTATAGACGTGCACCACCCTGCCCGAAAACACTGGTTTCTTACTTGAGTACAGCTATACTTCTACCCTAGACCTTTGTACATGCTATTCTCTCAGTTTATCTTTAGTCACATAAATCACTTCCTCACCTTCAAATCTTTTTAAAAATGTCACATTCTCAATAAGGCCTTTCATGGTCAACTTATCTGTATTTTAACCCTTTCATACATTTCTCTCTCCCACATCTAATATTTACTGTTTCCCTCCTCATCATTATTTCTCAATAGCACTATAATATATAATATATTTTTACTTATTTGTTTTACTATATGCCCCTGGAGTGCAAGCCCCATGAGTATAGGAATTTTAGTCTGGCTTATTCATTGCTATATTTATTACCAATACCTAAAATACTATCTGGCACCTACTAAGTATTTCTTAAAAAAATATTGTTTGAGCTGGGCCCGGTGGTACATGCCACTAATCCCACTGACTCAGGAGACTGAGGCAGGAGGATTTCAGGTTCAAAGCCAGCCTTGGAATGTAACAAGACTCTGTCCCAACCATGAAAGATGAAAGGGCTGGGGATAGCTCAGTAATAAAGTGTCCCTTTGTTCAGTCCCTAGTACTGGAAAAAAATGGATTGAATGAATAAATATACCATAATTCATTGTATTCATCTTTTTCCCATTCATTTATCCATCCATCTGTCCATCCATCCTTCAGGTTATGTCAAAGTTCTGGTAAAGCAAATTGAATTCTCCAAGCTAGATGATGTGGTCCATACTTTTATTCTCAGTTACTTGGGAGGCTGAAACAAGAGGATCACAAGTTTGTGGCCAGCCTGGGCAATTTAGTAAGACTCTGTCTCAAAATAAAAGGTGTTGGGGATGTAGCTCAATGGAACACTTAAATAGTGCAGATCCTGGGTTCAGTACCTAGCACTGCTATAAAAAATAAATAAATAAACAAACAAACAAATAAATAAATAACGAGGAGGAGGAGGGAAAAAAGAATTCCAGAGACTGGGAATATAGCTTAGTGGTAGAATATGTGCTTAGCATACATGGTTTTCATCCACATCCAGTATGTGCTGAGTTCAATCTCTCAGCACTAGGAAAGGAAAAAAAAAAAGGCAAAAATGTGTTTCCTGCTAATAAGTATTCAGTCTAGTTTTTAAGAATTATAAATTAAAATAAGTGTACCAAAGTATGGAAGAAATTGACTAATAACTATATAAGATATGAAACTTTTAAAAGCAAATAGGAAGCTTGGTAGACATGGTAGGGCCATATTCAAGAAAGATTCCACAGAGAAATAACTGGTACTTAAACTGACTATGGTGAGGTAAGTAAGTATTTGCCACATAATTGTGCCCAAAGACGTATTTTAGTCTGAGGGAACAGCAGGAGTAAAAGCAGAAAGAGGGCATTTAGAACATGGCACCCCATAATTTTTTTTAAATTTTCTGGGGAGGAACAAAAAGGAACAATTTCTTGCTTCTTTTCTATTCTTCCCCCCTCCCTCTTGTCCCTATTCCCATGCTCTGGGTTGAACTCAGGACCTTGAGCACACTAAGCATACACTGTACGACAGAGTTACACCCTCAGCCAAAAAGAAGCAATTTCCTATCAATGTATGTTTTCCTGTTTCACAAGTAACCCTTTTATCTTCCCATTCTTTTTTTTTTAATATTTACTTTTTAGTTGTAGTTGGACACAATACCTTCATTTTATTTGTTTTTATGTGGTACTGAGGATTGAACCCAGGGCCTCTCACATGCTAGGCAAATGCTCTACCACTGAGCTACAACCCCAGCCCTATCTTCCCATTCTTAATTGAAAAATTTAGTTTCAAAATAAGCTTGTGTTTAATTCTTATAGTTGGAAATATATATAATTGGAAAAAAAATGATTACTCTGAAAATTTGGTGCTGTAAGGTATCAGTAACTGACAATAGCAAGTTGCCCTTTTCTATAGCAGCTGCTGGTGGCAACTTCTTAGAGTAGGACAAAAACTCACCAGAAAACATTCTTGAACTCAGTTTGTAATATATAGATTGATTGTTTTCCAACTCGTTACTGAATGTACAAATGTTTTGTCTCAAAGTATTCTAATCAACTGAGGGTACCTTTTGGGGAGGGCAGGTACTGGGCATTGAACCCTGGGCATTGAACCCAGGGCCTTGCTCATGCTAAGTATGAATGATACCACTGACCAACACTCTGACCCCCCTATTTTAGCATTGGTGCATGATGTTAGAATTTATTTTGATTTTTTTATTTTGGGGGGATATTGAGGATTGAACCCTGGGGTGCTTAACCACTGAGCCACATCCCCAGCCCTTTTTTACATTTTATTTAGAGACAGGGTCTTGCTGGGTTGCTAACTGCCTCACTACATTGCTGAGGCTGGATTTGAACTCATGATCCTCCTGTCTCAGCCTCCTTAGCTGCTGGGATTACAGGTACGGGCCACTGCCCTAAATTAAAAATTTAACTTAAATTGTTTAATAATTTTAATCTAAATGAATGAAGTGAATGCCTGATAATTTGATTTTTTTTTTTTTTTTTTAGTACTAATACTGGGACACTTTATCACAGAACTACACCCTCAGCCCTTTTTAATTTTTTTAGACTTTTTCCTTTCAGCTGGTACAGTGGCATATGCCTATAATAATCCCAGTGACTTTGGAGGCTGAGGCAGGAGGATCACGGGTTCAAAGCCAGCCTCATAATTTAGTGAGGCCCTAAGCAACTCAGTGAGAACTGGTCTCAAATAAAAAGAACTGGGGATGTGGTTCAGTGGTTAAGTAACCCTAGGTTCAATCCCCAAAACAAAACAAAAATTTTTTTCTTCTTTTATATTTTTTTGGTATGTTATTGTTGCACATAATGATGGGATTTGTTGTTACATATTCATACATGCATACAATATAACTATATAATTTGGCCAGTATTATTCCTCAATATTTTCCTTTTCCTTTCTCTCCTCCCTCCCCAGGGTCTCTTATCTCTACTCTGCTAATCTCCCCTTAATTTTAATGAGACTCCCTACCCCTCCACACATACCTTTCTTTTCCTTTTTCCTCTCTAGCTTCCACATATGAGAGAAAATGTATGACATATGACCCTTGACTTTCTGAGTTTGGCTTATTTTGGTCTCAAAATTCCATCCATTTTCCTGCAAATGATATAATCTCATTCTTTATAGACGAATAAAACTTTATTGTGTGTATAATACCACATTTTCTTTCTTTTTTTTTTGTGGGGAGAACTGGGGATTATATTTTATTTTTTGAGACAGGGTCTTGCTAAGTTGCTGAGGCTGGCTTTGAACCCACAATCCTCCTGCCTTAGACTCCCAATCCAGCAGAATTACAGGCGTGCACCACCGCACCCGGCATATATCACATTTTCTTTATCTATTCATGGACACTTGGGATGGTTGCATAATTTGTCTGTTGCCAACAGTGTGATTGTGTTCTTTTTTCCTCTGCATCTTTTCCATCATTTATTTTTGTTTGTATTCTTTAAGACTGACATTCTAACCGAAGTGAGATGAAATTTCAGTGATTTGCATTTCCTTAATTGCTAATGATGTTGAACATTTTTGCATATATTTGTTGGTCATTTTTATTCTTTTGAAAAGTGTCTTTAGTTCATTTGCCCATTTATTGAATTATTTGATTTTTTTTTTTTTTTGGTGTTAAGTTTGTTGAGGTCTTTATATTCTGGATTTTACATCTCTGTCAGAAGAATAGCTCCCAAAGCTTTTCTCCCAGTCTGTCTTCACATTCTTAATTGTTTCCTTTGCTGTGAAGAAGCTTTTAAATTTGATGTCATCTCACTTATTAACTTGGCATTATTTCCTGAGTTTCAGGGGTCCTATTGAGAAAATTGTTGCCTGCACCTATATGTTAAACCTACATTGTTTACCCTGCATTCTATTCTAGAAGTTGCATGGTTTCCAGCCTGTTTTTATATTCTTTTCAGATAGGATCTTACTAAGTTGCCTAGTTTGACCTTAAACTTGTGATCCTCCTGCCTCAGCCTCCCCAGTTTCTGGGATTACAGGTGTGCACCACCACACCCATCAAATTTGACTTTTAATACATAGACAATCAAGAACATAAATGGTTTGAAAGTTGTCAGGAAGAGTCTAGAGTCTGTGCCAAATGTTTAGGGTCCTTATCAGAATAAATGTGTATCTCCACATATTGAATTTACTTGCTATATTTAGGGAGGAAATGAATTTCTAAAGTGCTTTTTCTGTTCAGGAATCTAGGAGTGATAGTACTAGAAGGAATTTGCGATAGATACAAGGATACTGGTTCATCAGTTCCCAGTAGAACTGTTCTAATTAACATACTTGGTCAAAAAATTGTTTTTTATTTCTTTGGAGGAGTTTTGGGGTGGTGTTGGGGATAGAACCCAGGGCATCACACATGCTCTCCCACTGAGCTATCTCTCTAACCCCCTTTTAAAAATTTTATTTTTGAGACAAGATCTTGCTAAGTTACCCAGGCTGGCCTTGAACTTGGAATCCTCGTGCCTCACTCTCCCAAGTAGCTAGGGTTACAAGTGTGTGCCCAGCTAGGTTAAATAATTCTTAATGAACTTTCATTAAATTCCTAATTTAACGAACTCAATTTCATTGAGTTCTGAATAGTTGATCAGTACTGAAATTACAGCACACAGAGTGCCTATATCACTTCCTTCAGAAATTCATTTGTAAGGTAGATATGTGAATATATGAAGAATATTACATGGTGAATGTTATTAGAGTCAGGAACAGAGTGGGAAAACAAAATTAGATGCATTTTTTATGGAAAGAAGGCATGCTAGAAGATCAGGTTTAATTAAATGATTTGTTTACATTAAAGAGAGCCAGCTTCTAGAAAAATGTGTTTGTGAATTTTTTGAATCATTTCAATGCATAGGTCCTCTCTGTTTATGTGCATTTTTGTACAAAGGCTTCCTATTATAATGTGCTGCAAAGATGGGTTCAACAAGGCACCCAATGTAGTTAATAGCAAGACTTGATCAGATGTATTTCTTTTCCCTTCCTCTGTTTTAGTGTCATAAGTCCTATAGATGGGAAGTCCATGGAGTCTATAACAAATGTGAAGATATTCCATGGATCGGAGTATAAAGCAAATGGAAAAGTCATCAGATGGACAGAGGTAAGGAAATGAAACTTGGTACCCTTGACCTGCTTTGAGCACAACTTTTTGCCAGGCTGAGAGCCACATTCCAGGCTGATTCCGGAAGATAAAGAAAAAATCTTTCTGAGAAAGAAGTCTTTCCATTTACCTACTAAACTCTAATTCCCCCTGGTCTGTCTTAGATCCCTGAGAAGAACTGCCATCATGTGTAGCTTGCTGTAATCTGATGAACTTGCTTTTAGAGATTATTTGCATCAGAATTCAAAGAGTACATCTCTGAGTGGTACATACTATCTTTGGTATGATCTTCAGAAAGCTACAAGAGTCTTGCTGCATTTACAGTTAAATATCTGAGATAACACAGTCTTAAAAAAAAAAAATAGACTTTTTTTTTTTTTTTTTGCCAGGTGCAGTGCTGCATGCCTGTTATCCCAGTGGTTTAGGAGGCTGAGGCAGGAGGACTGCAAGTTCGAGCCAGCCTCAGCAACATAGCAAGACCCTGTCTCAAAATTAAAAACAAAAGAAAACAAAAATGGGCTGGGGATGTTCTAAGTGGGTGAGCACCCCTAGGTTCAGTCCCTGGAACTCCCCCTCCCCCAAATCTTTTATTTTTCTTTTCACAATAAGAAATCTAAAGCTCAGAGATAAGTATCTTGTCAATAACTAGAGGCAAATCAGTAATGGCAAGTTGCTAATTTAAACTCATCTCTGGCCAACTTCTAAGCTCATTTACACTAAATTAAGTGCTGTTTACCATGAAGGCTGTATTAATAGAGTCTAATATGGGAATGAAAAGGAGCAGGGCTGGGCCCTGATTGTGTGGACAGTCACACAGATTAGCAAGTTTATTCTCAAAGAGTAAATAGGTAGGCCTCTTAATGGTTTTTAAACTTCATGAAGGTTCAATTATTCAATCTCTAGAATTCCTTTCAGATTTGTCTTATTTTTTTTTTAATTCTGTGACTCCTCATTTTCCATTTCATGCATAAAGAAGCTGAAGCTAAGAAAGGTTCATTATCTTATTCAGGATCTCATAGCTGGTTTCTGATAGCACAGGGACTGCAGCCTGTTTCTCTTGGTCTTGAGCTGTTGTTTCATCCTCTATACCAGGCTCCATGATTTTATATTCAGCTGAGCAATTTTAGTTTCTTGCTTTATAATGATCAATCCTTGACACGTTTTTAGCAGTGCAGAGTCTGGAACATGTAAAACTCTTTATAGCTTATAAAGCAGTTTGACCTCCATTCCCTCTTTTGTTCTTCAGTAACTCAGTGAGGTAGGCAGAGTACCCATTTCATCATGCTGATGAGAAAATGGGCTTTATAACTTTGTGACTAATGCTGATTGTTAGCAGAGCAGCATCCAGGGTTCTGTCTTCTGACACCCACTTCAGAGCTCTTTCTATCATGTCATGCTGTCACTCTCTCTAGAACATACAAGCACAGGGCTGCAGAGCTGCTCCCTTGATAATATGCTTAGTATGAGCCCCTTATTTGAACAGTAAGCATTGTATATTTGCATTATTTTTTTTATATTTTGCTTTTATATTGTTTACACTTTACAGTATCCAGAGATGGTAAGTTCTTTTCATTTTTATAGCGGCAAACTAGGCATTAAGAAGTCCTTTGAAAACTGGGCATGTTAGCACATGCTTGTAGGTCTAGCTACTCAGGAGGCTGAGGTTAGAGGGTTACTTGAGCCCATAAGTTCAAGACCAGCCTGGGCAACATAAATGCCATCTCAAAAAAATAAAAAATAAAAAAGGCCTTTGACATCTGTTAATCCTTTGGTTTGACTAGAGGACTCATTAAGGCATAGGCAGCTGTGTGACTAGGACTTGGGTCTCTCAGTTCACATTTGCTGTGCTTCTGACTATGCATTGGGCAGTGCTTGGCTCTGTGCTAGCACACTGACAACAGCTCTGGTGTCTACAGTGGCAGGATTATGTAGGGAGAAAAGCTCTGTGTAGGTCAAGAGGCAGAAGAGTTGGATTCTAGGCTTGGCTCTCTCTGAATATTTTTGTGCACTTGAGTGAGTCACTTCCTCAGAATGTTGTCCATACATCAGTATTACCTTTTAAAAGTGTATAATGCAAAATGGAGGCCTTTTCTAGTTCTGAGTAGGATGTGCCATCAGGCTGTGGTGGAGTCTTGCAGGGAAATAGGCTGCTACTACCAATGTGTGTGTGCAGGGACCATGAAGATTTTTTTTTTTTTTTTTTTTTTGGTGCCCTACTTTTCATGACCCAGGAACTATATGGTGTCCTGCTCCTGTCAGATCATCTTGCACTTCTTGGAGAACTATAGTGCTTATCCACTTGTGAGCTAATCCACTTATTCAAAACCTATGCCAAAGATTAAAAGTCTCTTTTGTTTGGGGAACAGGTGTTTTTCCTAGAAAATGATGATCAGCATAATTGCCTAAGTGATCCTGCAGATCATAGCAGATTGACTGAGCATGTTGCCAAGGCTTTTTGCCTTGCTCTGTGTCCCCACCTGAAGCTTCTGAAGGAAGATGGAATGACAAAACTGGGACTACGTGTGACACTGGACTCAGACCAGGTAAGAAGAATCTTAGCTTCTGAAGCTGGCCTTGGGCAAAGTCTGTATTTTCTGTCATGAGTTTTCCTGAATCAACCCAGAGTTCTCCAGATCTCCTGGCCTTCACAGGCGTAATGTTCTAATCTCCCTCTAATGTTAAAATACCCATATATCCTCTTGGTAAGATGCTCTCTGAACGTTTTAACCATGTCCTCTTTACCACATGCCTTCTAGAGAGTTACCTGCCTTCTCTCCATGGTCAGGAGAGGAGTGTGAGGACCTGCCACCCCTCTGACTGGCACCTGTGTGATACTCCCCAGTCCCACCCATCATGCATCACACTTTGCTCCCTTTGAGGGCACTAGTCCCTAATCTTGTTGTTTTCTTAATCCAGTTAGAGCAGGCTTCTGTTAACTGGCCGCTGCAATCACCCATGCCTTAATGAGATTTTTCTTACTGCCAATATTTTCATACTAGTTTGTGGCTAAAACTTGAGCTTTTCCCCTCCCTCATAATTTTCCTGTCAGTTAAGGTCTCCTGTTGTCAGGCTTCCCTCATGTCTGTCCTAATGTTTTTATAAGCTCTTTGTAGAAACAATCCAGTTCACACCCCACAAGTCCCAGTTCCTTGTCCCAATGTCTTTCTCCTAAGGCTAAGCACTCTAATCTCTACAATTTCTTTGGACTTTGGCTGCCTGAGAGAGATCCCATTGGTTCTGCTTTGATGTTCATAAATTGCCAGACCTCTTTATCTCCCTCAACCCTTTAGTTTTGAGTCATTTAGAAAATGAGTGTGAGTGTTCAGCATGATCACCCCTCCCAGCTAAGTATTATTTCTGCCCAAAAGCTGCTCCTGGACCTAAGGTTCTATAGGGAGAAACTGGTTCCTAAGTGCAGAATTGTTCCATTATCAGGGAACTAGTAAATGTTATGTATCTGGCTCCATTTCCTGAGTAGTCATCAATCAACAAGTATTTATTTTCTGCTTAAGGTCTTGCCCAGGGCTTTAAGAAGCATATCAGGGTATTACTAATGAAGTTTCTTAGTCCTGTTTCAAATGGTATTGATTATCTAGCTGGAGAGGGAAAATTCTCACATGAATTAGATAACAAGTGTTTTTCTGCTGAGTGTATGAGCCTCTTGAGGGCAGTGGCTCTGTTATCCTTGAATCCCTGTGTTCAAAGGTGCTCATAAAGTGGTGCATGGGTGACTGGATGGACTTAAGAACAAATGTTATATTAGGAAGCTGAACATTGTATGTTTCTCATTTTAGTTTTCAAAACCAAAAGTTAATATTATTTCTGACTCTCCATGCCTCTCCCAGAAAACAAAAATCCTAAGAGGTTAAGTGATTAGCTCAAGGTCTTATAGCTATCAGGTGGCCAGGATGAATAAATGACAGGTTGATAAATGGCAGCTCAGTGATGAGGAAGAATTTGTATTCACTGTCATGTGACTAGCCCATGACCAAGAAGGACATCACCTTTCACCTTTCCTGCTCAGCCCTTTGAAGGTCTTTTTTTTTTTAAGTTATAAATGGACACAATACCTTTATTTTATTTATTTATTTTATGTGGTGCTAAGGATCAAACCCAATGCCTCACATATGCTAGGCGAGCACTGTACCGTTGGTGAACCACAACCCAGCCTTGGAGAGATCTTCTGTGTTTAGTAACCTATCATCCCCTTCTCTCTGGGTATAGGTTGGCTATCAAGCAGGGAGCAATGGCCAGCCCCTTCCCTCGCAGTACATGAATGATCTGGACAGCGCCTTGGTGCCAGTGATCCATGGAGGGGCCTGCCAGCTCAGTGAGGGCCCTGTCGTCATGGAACTCATCTTTTATATTCTGGAAAACATCGCATAGGCAAAGAGGACTTCATTTTTTCTGTTCAGACCTGTGGCAACAGCAGTCATATCCAAATCATTTGCACTTTAAAACTGGAAGATTAAGCTTTTGTTAACACTATTAATGGGGGTGGGTGGGATAGGGTGGGAGTGAGGGGGCTTGGGGACAAGGGTGGGAAAGGGTGGTTGGGGGGACAGATGTTCTATAACTCTAAGTCTTCTATGCATTGTCCACCGAGAAGACCTGAACAGCTTCTGTTACTGCACAACAGTTATGCTATCTTGCAGCTAATCCCCTTCTGTTACATCTAGACAAGAATCCCACTCCTCTCTTTTAAGATTACTTATGGTCATAAGCTCAGAAATGTTGAAATGGGTACAACCATCACCAATGGTGCGGTGGTGGGAGGGCAGAAGGGAAATAAACAATGAAGCATCAGTTTTGCACTCTTTTTACAGAATTGGTATAAAAAGGAAAATTCCACACTGATCTTGTCCCAGTTACATCATAGGTGTTTGTCAGATAGAAGTCACACTTAGATTTTTGTTTATTTTCACCAGATTACTCATTGAAATTAATCAAAGACCAAAGGGATTATCTCCTTTTGTAGCCATGGAGGGCTCATGGGTGTAAGTGAAGTTACTTGGATAGCAGAGCTGAATTCAGGATCACTTGAGATTTGCCCAGGTGAATGGTAGATATTAAACTGGGCCTTTCTGTGGAAGTCAACCAAACATACATCAAGACAGCTTTAGTTACTATGTACTATAAGTATTTTTCATTTTATTGCAAACTCTTTTTAACTTCCAGGAAAGCTACAAGTACAAAACCCCACTATGTACACTTTACCCAGATTCACTTAACTGTTCACATATTAACATTTTGTCCTATTTGCTTTATTATGTCCTGTTATCCCTTCCCCTTCCCTTCCTCTTCCTTGTTCTCCCTCCTGCCCATTTCCTCCTCCAATAAAAAGATAAGATAAATTGAGGCCCCAGGGCGTGGTGGCTCATGCCTGTGATCCCAGTAGCTGGGGAAGCTGAGACAGAGGATTGCAAGTTCAAAGCCAGCCTCAGCAGTTTAGTGAGGCCTTAAGCAACAGCCAGAACCTGTCTCAAAATAAAAATGAAAAGGTCTGGGGATGTGGCTCAGTGGTTAAGCACTCCTGGGTTCAATCCCTGGTACCAAAAAAAAAAAAAAAAAAAAAAAAATTGAGGCCTTTCAGAGTACATTCATACATCATAGCCCATTACCCCTAAATACTTCAATATTTCCTCAACATTCTGTTACATAACTGCAGAACAGTTTTCAATTTGGGTCAAGTTCATATTGATCTATTATTTTAACTTAGTATTTTCCCAGTAACTACCTTTGTAGTGTTTTCCCCTCTAGTAAATCTTCCAGCATAGGTTTAGGGAGGGCATGTAGCTATCAATGACTTGCCTTTATCTTTCATGTCATTGGTATTTTTGGTGAAAATAGGCTGTCCTATCATATTTTTTAATGGAAAAATACCTCATTTTGAGTTTGATATTTCCTTGAATCAGTTTGTGTTTGTGCATTCTTGGCCATGATCACTATCTGATATCTGCCTGCCTCTCACTGATGGTGGTAAAGCTAATCAAAGTGTTATCCAATTTCTCCACTATTAATTTTTCCCTTTGAAACTAATAACAAGTATGTAGAGAGACACTTTCAGACCATGCAGATTTCTTGCTCATCAAATTGTCCTCTTAGACTTAAAACCCACTTTTTTCCTACCCGTACTGACTGGTCTTTTACTGTAACAAATAGTTGCAAAGTGACTCTCTAATTCTAGCACGTACTCTACCTTTACAATTTCAATTTGGTAATCTATAAACAGAAGACTTTCCTCTTCCCTACTTATTATTTAATTTTCATTATGGTCTCATGGATTGTGTTTTCAGTGGTTCCAATTCATTAATTTGGTGCTTAAATGGTCTTAGCTTTGTCCAAATGGAGCACCTTCAGGCTGGGTCCTACATCCTTGTGACATACTCCTACTATTTTTTTTAAAAACTTTCTTTTCTAGCCTAACAGGATGCTCCAGGCTAGTTTAGTTTTGTACTTACTCTGCCCCAGAATTGGAATCAGCCATTTCTCCAAGACCCTTGGTTTCTTTTAATGGGAGTGATATTAGAAACCAAGGTCTGGTTTAACTAGAATATATGTGACACATTCTGATCATTTTCTTTTGTCAGAAATTTATTATGGTTACAGACCAAATGGATTCCACAACCCATACTCTGAAATATACTGCTCTGGGGCTAGGGTTATAGCTCAGTGGTAGAGTGCTTACCTAGCATGTGGTAAGCATTGTGTTCAATTCTCAGCACCATATAAAAATAAACAAAAGGTTGTTTTTGTTTTTTTAAAGTACTGCTTTAAGACATTCCATTGTCACCAGCATCTTCTGAAAGCCCAGGCCACGCTGAGTTAGTCTGTCTACAGCAAAAGTATAGCTCTAAGAATGCATCAGATCCAACGCAGGAGAGGCTGCTCCTCAGTGGCTGGAGTTGGCCTTACCATTTGGCACTAACAGATTGTGAAGCTGTTTAGTAGATAATGTTACCAATAGGCCCACAGGCCAGGCTTGGGAAATGTGTCTGGCTGGGGTCTTCTCTTTCCTCACGGGATAGGGTGGGGGTTTTGTCCATATCTCTCCTCAAAAGCTTTGCCAATAGAAGCTACAGAGAATTATGAGGTCCTTTCCCATAAATTCAGAGTTATGGAGCTTCTAAAGTACACCTTGGCTCCCACACCACCAGCTTGTATGGACTGAGCCCTGGAATTAACCCCCAAACTTGACAAGAACAAGAAGCACTTGTTAAAGGGGCAGGTGTGTTTGGTATTAAGGTCCAGCTTGATCTAAATATACCTCAGAAGTTTGGAGCTTCTATAGCAACTGGTCCTATTTTCCTGTAGCTCATCTCTGTTTCCGTTCACCTAAATACATCCTGC